TTATCTGTTGAAACGGCCCGAAACGCTTCATTTTAGCCGGACTTTGAAAGATAGTTAATAGGAGTACATGATGAAAATAAGCATCTAGAGAGAGTAAGGTTATCCGTTGAAACGGCCCGAAACGCTCCATTTTAGCCGGAATAATTCATAGGTCTTTTTAAGGTTTTTTAAATAATAAATATTAATACTTGGCATTTTGAATTTTACAATAAAAAAACCTTAAAAAGACCTATGAATTATTTAAGAATTTTACGAGGAACATAACACTGTCGAAAGTAGCCTAGAAGCGAAAATAAGCATCTAGAGAGAGTAAGGTTATCCGTTGAAACGGCCCGAAACGCTCCATTTTAGCCGGACTTTGAAAGATAGTTAATAGGAGTACATGATGATATAAGAGTTCGTTCAAATATCAGCAGGGCAGAGGTGTGTTTCAGTGTTGCTAGACGGGACGCTTTTTCTCGCGCATGCGCAGCGCTGCAGCTATGAATCCAGCGGTGTATACGGCTTATAGTGTTGGGTGCTGGCGCGAAAAGTTAGACGTTTGACAGGCTACAGGAGAAAGTTAGGTGAGTACATGTAAAAATGATAATATTTATATCATATATATATTTCTATGTATTTTTTGTTACGCGAAATATGGATAGTTCAAAAGGAGCCATTAAAAAGACGCATATTAAAAATTTTCAAAATTCTTGGTTAGCTGACGATTTATTTAAAGGATGGCTGGCTCCTCATCCTACGGAAAATAAGGCAATTTGTAACTTGTGCAATATTACCATTAGATGCTGTAAATCAGATTTAATACGACATTCACAAAGGGCTAAACATATTAAAAATTGTGACAGTAATTCTCAAATAAGTCAAAGCCAAAGCCAAGATTCCAAAAATTCTCATATTGAAAACGTTAAACGAGCCAAAATTAAATTAGCATTTTTTATTCTGAACATAACGTTGCTCTTTATACCGCAGATCACTTAGTTCCTTTGTTAAAAGACACTTGTATAGATTCTTCAAATCGTGCAAGATCTTTCACTGGCTCGATCAAAAGTGCACCAATATTATTAAAGAAGTTCTTGCAAAGCGGGAAAATAATTCTGCCAAATAAAATATTTTATTGTTATTAAATGTTATTAACAATTATTTAAACATCCTTTCCTTTTAGCTTATTTTATTAATATTATTAATTATTTTATTATTATAAAAATAAACATAATATTTACATGCGTTTAATTTATTATTATTTTATTACTTTTATCACTTTTTAACGATAAACAAAATTTTCTAATAATTTTTTAATTAGAAGGGTCTACAAGTGCTCTTTTTTTCCTTCAATTAGTACACCGTTGAAACCGATTCTGAAGTGCGTTCGTGAAAAAAAGCGTCCCGTCTAGCAACACTGACTGTACTATGGCGATCGCAGAATCGCATTCGAGAATGGCTTCGCATTTTTCGCGGTAATTATCGCAGAAAAAATGTTGCATACGGAAAATTATCGCGAGTGTTTGTCGCAAAGTAGTGTATGTTAATCGAAACACGCTAAGTACCATATATAGTTGCTGTGATTGTGATTTCGGTGTGACGATGCGTTTCGGCGTGTGTATCGCTCGGAATTCTCTGTGTCGCCGGTGCATCGAAAGTATATAATTCATATGCCGAATTTATATGCTTTGTAACATGTCAATGTTATATAACTAGTTGTGCTTGTTATATTTTTTATAATAATTACTATTTTGGTCATTTTTAACATTTATTACAATGTTCAGATATTTTTTTAATCATAGTGAAGTTTGCTCCAATCTTTTGGATTCTTCGAGAATCGCAATTTCTCATTTCGATAGATATCGAAGGTAGTACTAGCAGTAGCAGTACGACGTCGCGGCGATCGCACATTGTATTAACAGATTTGTATTTTCGCGCTGATTGAGAATCTCGCGTATGCCGATTAGTACGAAAGTTTGTCATAAAAGTAGTTAATGTACGCGCATTTGTCGTAATGTATTCAATGTGGAATCTTATTTCGGTATAAACAATCCGTTTCGGAATCACAGTGACGGTGTGTCTATAGTGTCGTGTGAAATTTGTGTTTTTTTTGTGTAGATTAGGTTATTTTGCAACGGTGCATCGAAAATGCGACAAGAATATTGTCAAGTACGTACATGCTTTGTTGTATAATTAGCTCTGTTAATTATATTTTTTGTAATAATTTGCTACCATCTAACATTTATAACATTATTTCGAATTTTTTTCCATGGTAATTATTACAAAGTTGGCTGGATCTTAATGCTTCATGAATTATAATTTTATTTTTTGATCAA